GTGTGTGTGTGTGTGTGTGTGTGTGTGTGTAACCTCTGGAACACTGTCCATCTCCTCTGATGGGACTGGCTGCCCAGTGAGTCCCAGGAGCGCGCCTGGCTCTGTTTGCCCTGCGCTGGGATTACAGTGTATACAGTGTATACAGTGGATACAATGACAACCGGCATTTAACTGGGGTCTAGAAGTCAGGCTCTGATTCTCGTGCGTATGAGGCAAGTACTTCGTCAACTGAGTCATCACCTCAGCTTCAACCGCAAGTATGTAACCAAAAATCCACCAGAGATGCCGGAAGAGGGTAAAACACACTTAATCCGTTGTAAGCTTGCTAGTGGGAATCAAGGTAACAGATGACTTTTAGATTTATTTCAGAGAGGAAGGGGAAGCACTCAGCCATTTTCCACAAATACTAGAGAGCACAGGAATATACAGAAACATCCGGAAGGCTGGCCTCACATGGACAAAGCTCTGAGCTGATTGGCTAAAGTTTAAATCAGTCTTCAAATGAAAATATATTTGCCAAATAATTATGACCCTCCCTGCTGTGTACTATTTTTGATCACAACCTGACAATAAAGCTAGCTTTGAATCAGAAGGCAGAGCTAGCCTCTAACGGACCAAAATTAACCTCATAGAGGTTTGAGAGGACTGAAGACAGATAGAGAGGCAGGAAGTAGTAAGGCAGGGCTTAGAGAGGATCTCAGTCCTTTTAGATGGAGGAGCGGAAGAGATAGGAGGTCCCTGGTCACTTCTCCGCTGCTTCTCTGATCATTCAGGTTCTTACCCCAATATCTGACTCCCTATTTTTTATTTATAAAGAGTAATCAGATAAATGCATTACTCCCTGTCTCCCCAAAGGTGGGAAACTGAAGGTACAGGTTGATTAGAGGCTGTGTGGCATGTGGGTACCAGTACGACCCACAGGTGGCCAATTGGATCTTCGCTGAGAGGTGGCCATCAGGTAGATACAGTCTGCACATTAAAACAGCATCCTGGGAGGAAGGGAGAACTGGGGTTGGTGTGTAAAACTAAACTAAATTATTTTATGTAAAAGAAAAAGAATTTTTGCAACAGCAAAGCAACAACCACAGCCTGGTTTCTCTTCTGAAGTTTCTCAACCTCGAGGCTCCATAGGAGGGTTTTCCACAGTTGACATTGGTTCTCTGGGGCTCTGACTACGGGTCTGTGGAATATACCCTTATAAAACAGCACAGGGAGCCTGACATGATGGTGTGAGCCCCTTTAATACCACCTAGCACTGGGGAGACAGAAGCAGGTGGATCTCTGTGTGTTTGAGGCCAGCCGGTTCTGCATAGTAAGTTCCAGGACAGTCAGAGACACATAGTAAGACCCTGTCTGGAAAAACCCAACGTGAATAAGTAAGTAACAAAGCACCACAAGGACTTGAAAGACCTTTGCTCAGAAAGTGTCTGACCCCACCACAGGGAAGTCACACCGCAGTTTTGCAAAGAGAAGTGTCAAGACAAGCAGATGTCCCGGGTCCTCCACACAGACAAGGACAGCCAAGACAACAGCCTGGGTGTTCAGACTTTATCCTGGTTCATGGTTCTCAAAAGTCAGTCATTTTCCACACAGTGCTAACTAGCTGGATTCTGCTTCCAGGTATCCCCGTGCTTGGCTGCATTTGTTCAGTGAAAGCACCATGCACAATTGAGTACTGGCTAGCGAGAATCAGGATGACCTGGGTTGCTCCTGGCAAGTGACTGCAGCCTCCCTGGCTGCAGCATCCCTGGCTACAGCATCCCTGGCTGCAGCATTGCTGTTTACAACATCTCTGGCTGCAGCATCCCTGGCTGCAACATCCCTGGCTACAGAATCCCTGACTGCTGCATGGCTGGCTGCAGCATCGCTGGCTGTAGCATTCCTGACTGCATCATTCCTGGCTGCATCATCCCTGGCTACAGAATCCCTGACTGCTGCATTCCTGACTGCAACATCCCTGGCTGCAGTATTGCTGGCTACAGCATCCCTGGCTGCAGTATCCTTCACTACAGCATCCCTGAGTGCAGCATCCCTGGCTACAAGATCCCTGACTGCTGCATCGCTGGCTGCAGCACTGATGGCTGTAGCATTCCTGACTGCATCATCCCTGGCTGCAACATCCCTGGCTACAGCATCCCAGCTGCAGCATCCATCACTGCAGCATCCCTGGCTGCATCCTTGGCTGCCCTCGGCACTCAGTGATGCACACGGGAACCAGCTGGACCCTCAGGCTCACATCTACTGCCCTTTCAGCTAAACTTGAATTCTCTGTAGTTGTTCCTCCAGCCAGCCTTTTGATAACAAAGCATCACTTTATTCAGAACACAAGGCTTCATCCCCCTGCATGTATGCCAAAGTGTTCATGACAGCTCCAAGCAGACTCTGAATACAATTGTGAATCACATTGTTTCTTCATCTGCCCCAAGAAGCCAAATGGTGATGCTACCCAGATCTTGCCTGCTAACCTTTACATAGAGTTTGCCACTCTGCTTCTCTCATCGTGTGAGCACCATCTCTGTGGTAGGTGGGCCAGCTCAGTAGGTTCACACTTGGCTGTAGAAACTGAACCCCATAACCACATCTCCTGGAGATCTATATGGGTGTTGCACTCCAGCTGGTCACATATGGACCACCACAGACTACTGTTGAGAATGGTCCAGAGCAAGAGCCCCAGGACGCAAGATCATCTGCATGATTAAGATGCTGGCTCACAATGCCTTCACGTCAAACATGCTCACACTGCCTGGGTTAGCTGCTTCTTACAGACAGTAATGGCACAGACTATCCTTGATTTGCACCCACGGGAAGCTGAGTAGGGAGAACACACATTTACTAATGAAGCCCTCTTTCTGTTATTCCCTTTCCTTGTCTTCCTGCTTCACCTGCTTCTCTCCTTCATCCTCAGGAACTGGGGAAACAGTTAGAGAGCAGAGAAGCACAAAATGAAGCAATAAAAAGACACATCTGGCTGGAGAGGTGGCTGGGTGGTTATGAGCCCGTGAGGACCTAAGTTCAAATCCCAACACCTGTGTAATGAGCAAGACAAACATATGCAACTCTGGTTCCAAGAGAGCTAATGCCTTCACCTGGCCTCTGCACACACATTTGCACATACTCATGCTTGTACGCACAGGCACATACACACAAAATAAGTGTGGTTTAAAATAGTTCATGTTATCCCGGACTATATAGTTCAAGGCCAGCCTGGGATTTCCTGTTCCACATTTAAAATAACAGTAACAGTAATAATAATAATTAGTAAATAACTAAGGAATTATTTTGTAAATCAGGAAATGACAAAATTAAAATGAAAACACCTAAGTCAACAGAGACTGATTATGTGCCCAAGGATACTCTGAACGTAAGCTTGTCTTATCTCCCAAGATACTTTTTGTTGGATATGTATCAGTCCTATTCAAGTTTCCTAAGTAATTTATAACAGCTTAGCAGTTTGACAGAATCTAAAACTTACATGATAACCACCGCCTATGGCCACCCTAAGGCCATTCCCCACCTCTCTGTCCCTTGCTTTCCCCTGCCAGAAAGCTAAAATGCTAAACACATGAAAGCCCTCACTCTCAGCCTCCCTTGCAGCTAGGACACACTCACAAGTGAGTCTGGCCTCTGATGAGGGTGAGAAAATGCACTGTCTCTTACGGAAAGGCAGCTTAAAGGGGCCCTAGCATGCTCATGTCCCCTTTTAGCTTTCTTTTCTCGCCTCCTGGGGTGTCACACATCCCGAGACAGGCCACAGCCGTCCAGCAACAGAAAGTGGCAAGTGGGAGATGATGGCACGGAGCAGTGGCAGAGTGGGGACACGGAATGACCCTGAGCCCTGTTGGCCTCACTGAGCCCCAGAACCCGTCCAGGACTCCCTGCTCCACGTTTACAGCAGAAGAGATAAACAGTCCCCTCGTTTGTTTATCCACTGGCATAACAAAGGATTTGGGGTTACCCACACTCCTGCTTGTGGACTCATGAAGTCAAGTCACGTCTGACTTAGAAGTGAGAACGGCTTTCATTTTAACTTATTGCTGTTGATTGAGGGGTACACTCTGGAAATACCATCTTGACAATGCCGGTCTTTTGTCAGAATGCCATTGACTTGAGTCCATCTGTCCCCAGGACAATGAAACCAGAAATGAGGGCAAATTTAACCAATCACACTGGCAAAATGTGATCATTAGGATTTAAACTTTTAAAGCTCTCGGACGTTTTGTTTAAAAACTAACATAAACAGAAGCTACTGTTTGGGGGAAATCTTATCCCCCTCCCCATCTACATCATTAGCTTTCTGGAGTGGATTAGAAAGATAAATTGGAGGGATCCCGTGGATATTGTACATAACAACCATAAGAAGCAAAGCCACTGCAAAGAGTGGAAACTGAGAGCCTCAGAAAGAGCACAGGTCTGTGCCTGCTGAGGACAGGGCCACCGACTCGCGGGAAATCAGGACTTTCCAGGTTTTTATGGGATCTTTTGCACATTCTTCAAATTCAATTTGCAACCAAGAAATGATTTCTTAAAGAACTGCCATTGTTCGCTGGTTCAACTCAGACTCAGCCCACTACAAACTGCTTGACATGCCGGCCAAAACACACACAAAAACTCTCTCTAAAAATTCATTTCTTCCCCAAAATGTGAAAGTCATTGTCTAACTATGTTAAACAGTCAGGCATTCCTGTGTCCCTGGTCACCACTCAGATATCCCTGAAAGTTCCCTGGAAAATTCCCTTAGAAAATGTGCTAGTCAGTGCTGGGGATGGGGCTCAGAAGGTGGGTGCTTGCCTGGTGTGCATGAAGCCTTGAGTGCAATCACCAACACCTCATAAACTAAAAATGGGGGGACATGCTTGCAGTCCCAGTATGTGGGGGCAGAAGGGGCAGAAATTCAAAATCATCTTTGGTTAGATGGTGTGTTTAGGGACAGCCTGGGACACAGAACTAAATCCTAATAAAAGAAGACAGACAAGTGTGGGAGGTAGGTTTTAAAAAAAGACAGGTGGAACAGATGTGATCAGAAACCACAAAGACCCAGTGACAGCCCTGATTTCTAATGAATAGTTTTTAAAGATGTGTAAGTCACTTAGTGGTTATTAATAGGAACAGACAATCTGTTAATAAAGGAGTAATACCAAATAATGAACAAAAGTGTGTGTGTGTGTGTGTGTGTGTGTGTGTGTGTGTGTGTGTGTAAAATCTTAAGGAAGGAAATGAGCTTGGTCGACCAGATACCTTGTGTCAGTTATGCCAATCATTCATCCAGCAACACTAGGTCTCAGAGTCTAAGCAAGGCACTGGGAATACACAAGGGAATAGAGATGCTTCTATCTGTGGTAGCCGTTTTCTCTCCAATCCCATTGCACAACTAGTCAGGGACACTGATCAAACCCATACCTGGTTGAAACCATATAGCCTACTTTCAAAGTTTCTACAGGTAGAAAGAGTGGGTGCTAGATGAACATGTGTGTTGGTTGTGAGTGTGTGTGGAGTTAAATCATGGGTTAAGGGTGGGATTAGACACACAAGCATAGGTCTCCAACTGCTGATGGGGCAAGTTTAACAAGCCCTACTATAGGAAGGACCTTGCTCACAGCCACACCCCTGATCCATTTTGCAATAGGGACCAGGTTGACAACAGCTGCTCCTTCGGGGAAGCCCTTCTTGAGCTGGGCACACCACACTGTGATGGAATCACTCATTGACAGTGAGTCCCAGAAAGGGTGCTGTTCTGCTTTCATCTCTTCAGCTTCCAACTCCAGTTTAGAGTCATGTAGAAGTTGAGGCACCAGGAATTTGGGGGAGACATCACATTCACAGTCAAGAAGAGAGAGAAATGGATGTATGAGCGCTGGCTTGTTGGTTTGCTCCTAACACTCTCCTTTCTTATACTGCATAGGATCCACAGCCTAGGAAATGGTGCTGCTCGCAACAGGCTGGGACTTCCTATATCAATTAACAGCCAAGACAATCCCCACAGACCTGCCCACAGGTTTAAAGAGTTCCGCATTAGACTCTTCCCAGGTGATTCTGTGTTGTATTTAGGTGACGGCTAACACTAGGTCAGAAATGCCAGTGCTGGCACTTCCACGTAGCCTATGTTAGAAAACCAGAGTAGCACGGTTAATTCCCCGACGCGCAACCTCAGGTAGCCTGCAGGGGAGGATTGCGGGATTTCTAAGATTTAAGTCCAAATCCTAGGACAAGTATGTACTAGCTGCTGGCTTTGGAAGAGCAACTCACGTTAACAGCCTGGAGCCTGACTCCCACAGGAAGATGAGTGTCGCGACGTGGAAGCTAAGTATAAGAACACCCTGGGAAGAGTCAGTTGTGAGTAGGAAATAAAAAAAGGGCTGCCTAGATCACAGGGTGAAATTCGTGTCTGCAGCTTGTGTTGTATTGAGTCTCCCGATGCCACCATAGAAAACGACAATACTGTTCCTTTTAATCAGCATTCACTGCTCTCCAGTCAGGTTGTGTCTTAGGGTTTCTGTTGCTGTGAAGAGACACCATGAGCACAGCAGCTCTTAGACGGAAAACATTTGACTGGGGAGGCTCACAGTTCGGAGATACAGTCCATTATTATCATGCTGGTGTGCAGGCAGGCATGGTGCCCTAGAAGTAACTGAGACTTCTACATCTGGCAGCCAACAAGAAGTGGTCTGTCTCACTGGGCGTGGCTTGAGCATCTATGAGCCCTCAAAGCCCACCTCCACAGAGACACACTCCCTCCAACAAGGCCACACCTCCAAATAGTGCCATTCCCTTTGCGGGCCATTTTGTTTCAAACCACTACAGGTTGTTACACTTAGTTTTAAGTGTAGCATGATATATGGAATATTCTGATTACTATAATTATAGTATTCACAACACTCTTCCTCGGTATAAAAATGAAGCTTTAGCTTTGACTGAGAGAGAGCAATCAACAAGACCATGAGCCCTGCCCCCACCTTCAACTTTCCATATTCTTCCCCCTGGTCTAGTTGCTTCAACTTTGGCCTGGGCCTACAGATGTACTAAAGGGTACCCCAACAGCTCAAAGGTTACAAACCCCAGTTTTAGACCTTGGTTTCAAATCCCTTTCTTATTAATATTTTATTCGCAATTATTAATACAGTCATATTGACCATTAACGAGTAATTTGACCTTCCCAACCTAATATTTGCAGGAAGCTTCAACAAGTGGAAAAGTGGGGGGGGGGA